CCAAACAGAAGTCTGTGCAAGATCAGAATCCTAGAGGGGAGGCATGATTTATTTCATATTTTGAAAAAAATCAGAACATTAATTTCAAGTAGTTCTAAGCAAGAGAAATAAAGTCTGTGCAAAGTAATTTCAAACTAAGAGCAAAATAAAAAACGAAACAAAGGATCTTGCTTTTTCTCCTAATTAATTAAATACAGACCAACAATGTTTATGGTGCAGAAAGTACAAAATTTAGACTGGTGGCTAAACTAGTGCATGAAGCCTTTATAAAGCCCTATCATCACCCACGTCCTACATTAAGGATAAAAGTAGTTTGTTCTCCCATTTTTAGACTTCTGCCTAGGGCATGTTTCACACAAAAACCATATAGTTTCCTTTAAAAGCTGTCTTTGATTACTAAATAGTTTTGCTTAGAAACTGCACCTTTACCTTTAAAGTGCAGAGGCAAAGCTTTTAACACAGTGATAAATGTTCTCCTGTACTTCGTACAGTGCTGCAGTTAAGAAGAAGGTAAAGGTTTTGGCTTTTAAAAGAGGGTGTGTAACCAGAACTGTGATTTGCATTTGCAAATCCACATGATTTTTACTGTTGTCGGGGAGCAGTAGAGCTGAACAGAGGTGTAGCAGGTATTGCAACTGAATTACAGGAGCTTTAAGCCACCCTTAAGGGAGACACACAGCAGGGAGGACCACTCGCTGCACGAAACTGTCAGTGAAATCTCATAGAAACAGGCAAGTCTGGAAATACTAGTGTTAGTTGGACAAGAAATAGATGACAAGTTCTATGAGTATCTGCAAGAGACGCGTGTAAAATTTGTCATTACTTGTGTGGTATATGCACATATATTTTGAATAGGGGGATTGTAATTCCTTAGTTCTCATATAACTAGAACTTTGCTCTTATGGTTATAACGCCATCTGAAATTCTGAACCATTATATTCCTTTTATGTACCCTTGCTTCTTATTTAAAGCATATAAACCCTTTTTACAAAGTTAATCTTCTGGTTTTTTATGCATTCTTAGACTTTTCAATTTTGTATATGAAAAGCTAAAACTTCTGTGTGGCTGTTGGTCAATGGAAGATCCTGTGTTACACTGCAAAGTGTAACCTGACCTTTAACACCTTCCCAAAAAGCAAATGGTGAGCGCCAAGCCCACAGACATCCAGGGCAGGGAGGAGAACAGATCCTGATGGGACTATCCGTAAAAGACGCACACGCTATTCCTTGCCTCGAATCATCCTCTCCAATGCCGTGGGTCCTCTCTGGGCTGGACTTTGCAGGTGGACAGAGGAGAAGGAGAAGGCTGCTGGGCCTGCAGCTGGCATAGCAACTACTCCAGAGTTTTTTTAGGGAGGCCATTGGTAAATATAGGAACAACCCCTCCGTTCCCCAAGGGATTTTGCAGACTAGGCCATTTGCTGCGCACTGGAATTAGAATTTATTACGCTTTTTGTAAAAATAATAGTTTTTAATCACGCATAATCCACTGCAGAAGAGACACATTTTTAAGTACAGAAAGCAATTGAAGGCCTGGAGACAACCTGAAGTTAAAAAATGTCCATTTTTTAAAAGTATGTCTTTGAAGGAAACAAACCTTCCCTCAACCCATCATTTATGTGATTTATTTAGTCTTCATGTAGACTAGAATTTTAGACAGTATCTAATCCATCTGCTTATAGAGAAAGTTGGCATTCATTCACCACCTGACAGAGAGAGCTACCCTGGAGGTTAACTACAGGTTCTGGTACCGTCTGAGGGAAGGGGCAGCAGTTTATATGATTTCAGTTTTTGTAGTCCTTGGCTCTGTGTTCGCAAAACTGTTTTAAATTCACTGCTAGGAGTCTGCCCAGCCATGCGAGCAACTATGTTGATGCTTACTGTGGTGCAGGTCTCAGTGATATCTTGCAGCAATGAGTTCCACAGGTTTTTACCGCTTACTGTTTGGAAAAGTATCTTTTATTATTATTAGATTTATGACTTTTCCATTTCAGCGGAGTCCCCTTTTCTCCTCAGATGAGGTAGGGTGAATAGTTCCTGATTCTCCCTGCCATTTATTATTTTGTATACTTTGATCATGCTCGTTCTTATTCACTTTTTTCTGTAAACATTCCCAATCCTTTCGATCTCTTTATCATTCTTACTGCACATCTCTTTCTGATCTATCTTTCTTAGATGGGCTAGCCAGAAATGAACAGAGTACTCCAGATGAGGCCGAATTATTGATGTACATAACAGGTAAAATGCTGGCCCCGTTGAAGTTGCTGGGAATTCACTAACATCTAAGGGCTGAGGTTTCTCCCAGTGCTGTCACATTTCCTACATTATTCTTCCTCCCATTTTTCATATATTCAACTTCAAAATTTGGCAGCTGAGACTTTAATCTAGAATCCTACTGATTCAGCATCTTCCATTAAATTGCTGTTAGTTCTCAGATTAGCAGTGTAACTCTGTGGACAGGATTAGTTCCTTCCCCAAAATACTTTGATGAAAAGGGTCAAATTTTGTCTTGATTCACATTTGTTACGGAACCACTCTTGATGTTAGTTTTGAACAGCTGAAACTGAGGGCAGCAGCCCAGACTTTGAAACAATGCTGTCTGTGTTCACAGTGACCTTTAGCTGCAAAATCTGCTAAAATACATTATTTAGTCTATGAAAGCAAACAAACAAAATTTTTGCCTCGGTAAATGACTGTCCATAATGCAATATGAATATGAGGCAAAACAAGTCAGGTTTTTTTACAGCATCTGCAAAAGAAATCTGTTAACTTCTGTTTCCTCCCCAGAAACATCTAAGAAATGTTCAGATTGTTGCTGGCTAATAATACAGTAAATGAAATGTTAATAAATCATCAGCAATTTAGCCTGACAATAACATGGATTGACCACATTGATTAAATTGATTATCTTTCATATATTACAATATGTAGACACAAGCCTAATTTATTTTCTGAAGAGTTCAAGGTAGGTATCACTGGTTTAAAAAAAAAAGGGGCAAAACAAAACAATGGAGTAATGTTTGTGGTTGCTATCTGCAATAATCTAATGCTGACAGAGAGCAGTATTTTATTTAGTAATTAACAGTGTAAAGGGGAGAGAAGCTGTCATGTTGGTTCTTAAGCTGGGGAATGTGATGAAAGATGATATCTGCGATCTCATCCTTTCCACTTGTTTAGGATTGTCAGGATGAGAAATGTCAGCATTATGAAAGCTCAGCTCTGCTCTTGATATGATAAAACCCTTCAAAAGCCAGTCTTTCTCTCCCTCTCCCCCCTCCTTTCTCCCTCTCCCTCTCGCACTTGCTTTTTTATTTATCCTGTTTTGTTAGATGGCAGAAATATAATTCTTTTCTTTCTTCCTATTATAAGCCACCATTTTTGTTTTATTATATGTTTCACAACCCCTAATGCCCCACTGAAAATTACCTTGTTAAATGACAGTGTTTCAAAGCCATGAATCCTTTCCACCATTCCCTCAGAGGTTTGAAACAGTCAACAGACTGTAAAGAATAAATAATAAAAAAGTATTGATTATTTTGATGACTGTGAGATTCAATTAAGTATTAATTTTGCCCTCCAGTGGACCTATCAAGGTATTCAAAAGGGAGGATTCGGCTCAGCTAAATGCGTGCTGAGTGCTTCAGCCTTAAATAGGGAGAAAATGTGTTTACCTACAGTATTTGAAGAGGAGTGCATTGATGCACAGAGTCCAATATTTAAGTGCTGTGCAAATTAAGCCCTGGTGACAGTGACATTGTTTTCAGCAATATGAGTATTGACTAAAGAAGTGCATTTGATGACAGCTTAAACTATTTGTATTGATTAACATTTTCATAGATTATCATGTGTCATATCAAATTCACTTTTCAGACATGAATACATTAAAAAACCCATAGGCAAACATCGACCAATGTGAGGACGGGACAGAGGGAACATGCTAACCAACCTACTTGCTCGCTGGTCACCTGTTCTCTGCATAAGAACCATTTAGGCATGAACTTTGCAATAAATAGCTGCCAGAGAGCGCAACAAGGTCACTTGTACCTTTCCTTTTTTTTAGGGTTTTTTTTTACTCTGGTTTCCATGCTGTCATGATATTATGCCTATTAGTTTGCAAACGGAATAATAGAGTGTGCTTGGAAATAATGCCTGACCCCCAAATGTCCTCAATGAGCAGAAGATAAAACAGATCCAAATCATCAAGAAAAAATTTAAATGTGTATATATATATATATATGTAATGTTTTACGGGGGATATAATGTCGCAAACACAAGAATAATTGCAAACTATTTGTGTAAGTATCTTCCCTAATTTTATCTTTTAAAAAATGGTTTATGTTTTTTTTATTTTCAAAAGGAAAATGTGTGTTTGTGTGTGTTTATGGACTTTTGGAGCATAGTATCCCAAAGACAGGAATAGTTAGAAGAAATCTGTATCTCTGTTGAATGTATGTAATGAAATGGCTATTTGCTGCTGTGTATTTTCATAGAAACGCTGGGATGCTAGAAACTGTGTATTTGATTTTGTTAATGCTGTACAGCTGAGGATGCCTCTTTAAATCACTGTGGAGCGCTCACAGGGCGCTCCTCTTCCGTGGCGTTGGAGCATACAGGAATTTCTTTTCTTACTACGTTAAGGACAGGGCGAGATGTAAAAACATACACACAAAAAAAAGCACATGCCACAATTAAAGCTGTGTTGGTTATGCTGCTTTCATAGAAGTTTTTCTCCAAAGCATCCTGAATCTCTCACATGCTAGTTGAGCTTTAATAGGGTGGGGAGTAATGGAAAACTCATTGGATCTGTAATAGCTCTTCACTTGACTGCAGCCAGCAATAACAGCAGGAGCAGCCAGAGATAAGAGAGAGAGAGAGAGAGTGTGTGTGTGTGTGTGTGTGAGAGAGAGAGAGAGGGAGGGAGTGGAAGAGAGAGTATACGCACACCAAAGCTGCCACTTTTTTTTTCCCCTCACTCTTTTTCCCCCCCCATCCTAGGATCCAATGATAGCTGGACAAGTCAGTAAGCCCTTGCTGTCACTGCGGAGTGAAATGAATGCAGAGTTGAGAGGTGAGGACAAGGCAGCTACTTCAGACAACGAGCTGAATGAGCCCCTGCTTGCGCCTGTGGAATCAAATGACAGCGAGGACACTCCCAGCAAGCTCTTCGGTAAGTCTGTCTAGGTATTTCATTTCACTGCTACCATGTTGTCCGGAAGAGCAATCCCCCCCCTTTCTTTTTTTTTTTTTTTTTTTTTTTTTTTTTTTGTTCGCTCAATTTTCCTGTAAGTATGAAGGAGTAGCTTGGAGCGTGCAGGCGTACAGCCCCTGCTCCCATTGCAACTGGTTACCAGAATGACAGCGTCAGTCCTGAAAACTTTTGTCAACAACGAACTTATTTTATGCACGTTGCAGACATTTTATGTTTTCTTTTGATCCATGGTCTGTAATGTAAAAAAAAAAAGAGGGGGGGATAATTTTCTTGGAGTAGTTCATTAACATTTATTGCATTAGGTGCTGATGTATCTCTCATGCTACCAGCTTTTTCTAAGGCTGGATTAAACTGAAAAGTTATCATTTTATATGGTAAAGATAAAGCTGGCTGAAGAGAGCTGAAACATTCCCATAGAAAACACTCTGTACTGAGTAAACAAAGGCTACCAAGGGTACTGCACATGGAGCTAATGTTTTTGGAATTTAAATTATAAATGAAATATTTCTCCTAAAGTCTATGCAAAGAGAAATTACCTTCTGAATTTTTATTTATTTTTAAATAGTCTAAATTGTGCCAGATAAGTGTAACCTTTCACAATCAAAACAAAAGCAGCAAGAGTGGCACTCCAACACAGACATCTGTCATTCAAACGGATGACACCCTGTAAGCCAACTCAAGCAACTCTGATCTCTAATCAGAGAAGGGAGCAGAGCTGTTGAGGCGCGTGCTTGAGTGATAGATGTTGATAGATGTCTGAGCTGGAGCAGCACTACATGGTACATAGTGACATTTTGGGTTTAGAGGGACTGCTCTTCTGAAGGGGTTCCTTTTAATTATTTCCATTTGTGACTTGAGACAAACCTTAATAGAAACGGAGCATTTCCTTATTTTACATGATCCTATAGGTGGAAGTTGAAGGGAAAAAGATCTTGTTTAAAGGGAATGCAGCCTTAAGGGAGAAAGGGTGAGAGCCCATTTTCTAAGGTTCAAGTTTTGATTTCATAATCTGTAAGGAAATCTGTAGCAGTGTTCAGATTTCAGTACTCCAGCCACAGTAAGAGCTGCAAGATTTTTTTTAAACAAAATAATACATGCAATTTTCTTTTAAAATGTTCTTTACCCCTTACTAAAAGATATAGCACAAAATGTTTTACTAAACAACTTCACTACAGATATGGGAAAATAATAATAATTAAAAAATCCTAAAATTTAACTTCTGGATTACAGTAATGACCATTACTGAATATCACATCCATTTTTAAGTTACCTCTCAGTAATCTTTGTTTCCATGGAAAGCATAATTTCCATTAGCAGTTTGAATGTTCAAAAAGCATATAATAATTGTTTTAGTCCATTTCATCCAGGAAAGAATTGTAATGTCTAAAATACAGAGTGCTATTAGTTGTCTAGAGTAGTATAAACACCTTCAGCTGTGTTTATGTATTTTATTTGCTCAAATGTTTAGGGTGCATCTATTAAATATAGCAAGGCATATACAAAACAAAAAATGGACTTTTAATTTGAGGGTAGTGAATTGTCTGTTTGTTTTTAGATCAGGCAAGTCTTGTAATAGAAGGCAGGGTATTTTTTGAGCCATTGTCATTTGGATGCTCTATAGTGATAGTGAAATATACGCAGACACTTTCATTAGAGTTGCCGTGTGGGATATAGAAATGATGTGCAACAATATCTTGTCATCTTCTGAACTGCAAATATAATTTATGTCCCTAAAAGCACTAATGAAAAAGCTACAAATTAATATATTGTGCTGTTTCTATCAGTGAGTGCAAGATGTTTGCTAGCCTGATTCCTATACTGCTAAAAAGATGTTCCCAAGTAAACAAAAGTAGGTGAAATAGTTCAACTGCCTCAGTATGAACTTATGTACCATTTATTGAGGTTCTGTTACAATTATGACAGATGCTACAGATCTTTTAGCAGCAGTCCTTGTCCGTTAATTTTAGTAACTTTGAGAACATAAAAGAAAAGACGGTGTGGCTATTTTGATACATCTGAGGACCAAAATGAGCAAATTTAAAATAAAGATGATTAGCCTTTATGTCACGGATGCATCCCTTAAGATAGATTTGCAGTAAGCATTTAAAATAGCTAAGTGTTTGTTTTGTTTAAAGCTTTGATACATAAATATGGAGAGTTATTCTATAACTGTTTCTCTTTGTTTAATGTTATGAATAGCATGTTAGGAATGCATACTTTGGGCCTTTCTTTGCAGTCTCTGAAATTAAATTATTTGTAGACTTAATTGACATGTGATGGCATAGAGATTGACAATTTTCTCCTCCAACTACCTTTCATGTGATCAGAGATAACTTTCTTTTTACAATATAACATTTAATACATGCTGTGTGAAAATTTGCCCAAAACCTGTTAAGCAGGAGAGGGAGGAGCGTTTTAGAAAGTCATGGGGAGGAGACAGGTCCATAGAGAACAAAGTTTTTCTACACTGCTGCTTTCATGGTTTTTGAGAATTTTGTGAAAATCATGTACTGATTTAGTTGGAATGAATGACCAGCATTTGAGTGTCTTGTTGATGTTAGCAATATTTCATGAGTCTTATTTTCATATAGATGAACAGAGTTGAATGATTAGGTGTGAAGAGCTTACTTCTTTCTCACCGGACACATTCTGCTTAGCTTCTTTTGATGGATGGGTTTATTTCTGCAAGGACCTGCATTGCTCACCTGTACCTTTTCCTAAAATCCACCTCCTTTTTCTCAAACTTCCTTGTTTTGGTATTTCACTGCATACCATAGAAACAATGGGTATTCATTTTTTGTTTTGGTAGCAGATAGCACAATTAATCATAAAAATGGCACCTCTTCAACAACAGTCCCTGCTGCAGGTGAGGAAAGGGCAGGAGTGCAATTAATTATACTTATTTTTGACTTAGGAAGATATGAAGTCAACTTTTGTTTCTCTTAAGTGACAAAGCAGGTGAATGCTGCAGCTCCTTGGGTCTCAGAAATACCAGCACAAGCTGGGATAAGTTTCTGACGGTCTGAAATATTTCCCACCTGAAACTGGTGCACAGGTGTCTGGGAAGATGCACTTTGTCACTGCGGTGCAGTTGTTACCTGTGAGTGATGACAGGAGCAGCTGTGATTAGAGGGGTTGTGCTTGCTTGTTGTTTGTCTGCTTGCTTTCTCTTGGTGGTGGTGGTTGGTGTTTGTTGGTTTTGTTTGGGGTTTTTTTTGAAAGAAAAGGCTGTGCTGTAGTCTGGGGGTTTGCATCTGTAATCCTTTGCTTGTGCATTTATACCAGTAGACTTTTTGCAATCTGTATACCTGTGTGCAAAAGACTTTTGATACTGAAATCATGTAAAACAAGAAGGGAGTAAAAAACATGGTGAAAAATACTTTCTGAAGTGCAAAATATTGGGAAAGGACTATCCTGAAATGCATTAGCTCAGAAGTACAGTTTTGAAGTGTGGACTCGGCACAGCTACAGTGTTTCGCTTACAGAAATCCCAGTTTTGCTGAGCAGTATGAGGTGAAGTTGCTTTGCAAGAGATCTTGTGGTGTATTATTTACTCTTTAAAATATTTGTGAAGCAGTATCTCCTATTTTAGTCATATGATGTAATTAAGAAACAGAGAAACTGAGTCTGGCTGTTGACATTCCTGGCGGTGTAATTTTCAGATCAACTTGTCTTACTCTGAAATATGCTTCAAAATAGTAACCCAGGCCAAATGCCACGGCTCTTATTAGAGAAAGCTTTTGTTAATGCTAAGTAGTAGCTTCACTTGAATAAACACATTGGGATTTGATCCTAAATTAATTAATCCTAGTTCCCATTTTATACAATATCTTTAAACAAGTTTACAATAAGTTATGAAGTATTGGTCTGAAAAAATCTTAGTAAGAAAAAAAAATCCTTCATATTTAGCTGTGTAATATTATAACTGTTGAGATTCAAAAGTTGGTATAGACACCAGGGATATGTCTTGAATAAAATTCTCTATACAGTAAGAATCCCAGGAAAGAAGTGGCTAGTCCAAGCACCAAAAGCCCCTGTGGACTGAAGCTGGCTTTCCTGGAGTTAGATCCAGTCCTTAATTCATCCTTAATTGAAAGTAATTTGTGACATAATTAGATGATGGTAAAAAGAAAGCTGGGAATGCACTTGCATGTTAAGGTAATTTTACTGTATTATAAAAAGTTGCTCTTTGAGATCGAGCATGTAGTTCCGTGCATCAAACTTACTGAAATAAATAAAGCTGTAAGTATATAGTGAGTGCAAGACCAAGCCTATAATTGTGGAGCACAAGTGTTTCCTATTTAATAATTGCAGGACAGCAAAAAATTGACTGCAAACGGTTTTTTTGCTGGCAAGGTTTTGTTCCAGTGAAATTAAATCTTGGGTTTCCTGTGCTGGATCCGAAGACTGTGGTTTCATTTGGTTCGTGACCAGTTTTTTGCTTTTTTCATGATGCTGTGTATGCTTGAAATACAGAGTGGGGATATGCAAGTTAAATGAATCTGCACACATTTCCATAAACAAGGGTTTATTTTCAAACCCCTGCATTGGCTTTGGGATTTTGTTTTCCTTTCCCATATTGTTGCCCATGTTTCAGAACTGCATGCATCTTTCTATATAAGCATACACGTATATGCTGTAGCGGAACAGGACAGAAGTTGTTTCTAGCTGATTGTGTTTTGCTAGTAGATCCCTTGTATTGCTCTTTAAGGAAACATACATTATCCAATTTTTTTATTGTTATTTTTTTCTTTTTTTTAAATCGGAGTTGCCTTGATTAGAATTTATGGCACTCGAGTCATTTCAGTTACAAAGGATAAAGGACTAAATTGTCTTTTACCTCTTGAGACAGTGGTCTCTGCAGGTCAGAGCAGAGGTCATTGCCAGGTTGCTGTGAGGAAGCTCACATTATCGTCATTAACAGCGTATCTAGCCTGTGGGGGGAAAAAAGGCCTTCA